CAACGGTTGAAATCAACTACCGACAGTTTAGGTTTCCATCAGAGAGAGTGCATCCCAAATCATTCACTTTGTCCGACAAAGGGGCTGATCTTGTCACTATGATTACCCACTCAGATGAATTCTCGAACTGTCCCAACATACCCAGGTTTTGACCCCCTCTAAGGGTCTCACTGATTGACATATCAAAAATAACCCAATCTGACACCTAGTGTAGTATCATAATCGAGTCTAGGGGTCAGGTTCAGGGTTTCAAGAAAACCCACACTACATGTACCTCAGGTCTCACACTAGCAGCTGAGACAGGCCACCCCAACCAACTTGGCGGCACATCAGTGTCAGCCTTGGTAGGATAAATCTCCCCAGATCTATCCAACGGCTGTGAAGATTCTAAACTAACACGAGTCTCATATGTATTGCAGATGGACGACATTCAATCTAATCATTACTTTGGACCATTAAACCTACACTGTTCCAATTCAATATGTGGTCTATCTAGTCCGTCCAAATTGATTTTGATTTTGCACAGGTTCAACCCAAAACTGGTCCATTGACTTCCACCAAAGTGCTTTTGTGAAAAACCTCTTTAAAAACAATATCAAAATAGAATACAAATATCGAATTAAAGAAGTAGAACAACATTCTTTTGCTATCTCATAGAAGTGAAAAAAGAACTTTTGTGTTGTGTAAAAGTACTTTTAACAAATGAATGCATTGTCCAAAAGCATACCTGAAAAAACATATACTAACTCTGTTTGTAACTTGGCAACTTGTTATGATCCAACCCTAGTAGAACCGAGTCCATCAAAAAGCTAGTCGAGTCAAACCAAATTGGCTGAGCTTATATAATATACAAGAATTAATCTGTTTTGTGTTTTATATTTGGTGTCTACACTAATATTATGGTTTGTGACAAGAGGATAAGGAGGTGTCAATGGTATTCGAAAATCCGATTTTGAATTCGATATTTGATATAATCAAATCGAATTCAGATAATTCGAATATCTAATCGGTCAAATTTGGATATCTTATTTTTACCTAATAGTTAATTGGATTCGAATTTGGATATGACCTGATTCGATTTGATAAATATCTAAATTCGATCGATTATTTAATTCTTATATATAATATATAAAATATTTTATATAATTTATATATAACAATTAAGTTATATAAATAATTTATATAATTATAAAGTTTATATCAATAAAAATTTATTTTATATATTTATTAATTATCTAAAATAATTAATTAATCGAATTCAAATCGAATCGAATCGACTATTCTAATATTTAATTGGATTCGAATTTGGATATTGCCTGATCCGATTCGAATTCAATGCCTTTACACCCCTAGGGGTGGACACCTGCTTACTACTTAGTTGTTGAAACCATGGTTTTAAAAAACAACCAGGAAACAAAATCGTTTTGGCCACCGGTTTCTAGGTTAATGGTTCGACCCTCCGATTCAAATGCATAACCCATTCTGACAACAAAAATTTTAAAATAAAAATAATTAAAAATAAAAAACAGTCAAAACCGTTGAATGAATCAACCGATTGATGGTTTGACCACCTGGGTCAATAGGTCGTTGATCGATTCAATAGCTTTTGGTCAGGGACCGGGTTTGAAGTTTTAGAAAGAAACATCATGATTTATATTGAATAATTTAAAATATTTAAGTTTAAATAAAGAAAATCTCTTACAATTTTGTTTTGATCAACCAAAAACATTTCCGGTAGAAACAGTAATGACACCAAATACAGTCTATTTCACACATAGTATGAATAAAGCCATCATTAGTAACTTGATTTTTCTGATTAGAACACCCACCATTTTGTTGATCATTTGAAACAGGGATCCATTGTTGGCACTGTTGTGGTTAGGGATAGCAACTTTTTCCGTAAAATTGGGGCTCTACCCAACCCTCCGTTCTTAAATGAGAACAAGGTGGGGAAGGGTAAAACATTTTTGTCCTAAGCCAAGGATGTGGCGGGGATGGGATTTGCATATAATAATTCTCCAAAACTGATAGTAAAGTAGTAAAATATTTATAGATATAATATTAATTTCTAAAATACCTCTAAGTTATTCCCAAATTCTCAAAACCCTAGGATACCATAATTTCATTTTTATAATACTCCAAATTCCCATATAATAAAGTGTATTTTTAGGTGATTGCATCTGGGTGGGGAAAAGTATATTTGGGGATTTTCCGTCCCCGATGGGGAGTGAGTACCCCACCCCAAACCTGCCTTGCCACCGGGGTCGGGGTAGTGTATTTTGAATACGGACCGGGGACGGGGAGGGGGTGCCTAGTTGTCATTCCTAGTTGTGGTGGACCGTGATTTGTTCCCCTGTCCTGCACTAGCTAGAGCAAAATCTCTCTTCGAGACAAAAAATTGTTTTTTTTTTTTCTTTTTTGGTTGTTTTCATTCATTCTTTGCTGCTAATCTGCTCCCTCCATGAAAGAAAATAGTTTTTAGAATTCAATTTTGCAGTCACCATGGAAGCAATTTGAGTCAAGTTGCTGAAACTCCAAAATGCCATTGGTAATATCACCCTTGTTGACAAACACCATAGCCGGGGATGACAAGAAATTAGATATATAGCTCTCTCTGTGAATGAGAAGAACTAAGGAACAACTTTGTTAAATAATAAAGAAGTTTACAAAGTGTAAATATATACAGTGCAAATATATACAAAATATAAGGTTTTGCACTCTACATATTTGTATTTATATCATTCTTTCAACTGAGCTTTAGTTTCATAAAATGTATTTCACTTTTCCGTTTTTATATTTGCTACCGCTGTGTTTGGTTTGAATGAAAAAGTAGGGAAAAGAAGAAAAAGATAAGGAAACCTCTACAAACCTTGTATAGGTTTCCTACTTTTCCCTTCCTTTCCTACCTTTTCATTCAAACCAAACGTAGCCTACAAGTAAAATAAAAAATGAACCAAAATTTTTACTTTACTCATTTGCAGTCCATGCATTTGCACTAGTGAAAATGGTTTTGCAATGCATTTGTACTATTGAAGATGATATTGCAATGCAAAATAGAGCCTGAAGTACTATTTAGTATATGCTGAATATATATATATATCACAGAATTAATTGTTCTGCTACGATTCGTGTTTCAGTAATCAAGGAAAGTTTGGATAATAAGTTTTTGTGCTTCTGCCACTTAACAAAGATTATAGGAAAATTCCACCGAAGTGCTTTTGTGAGGGGAACCTCTAAAAGACAAAAAATATCAAAATATATATATATATATATATAGCATGCACAGATCGAATTAATGAAGTAGAAAAACCAACGTTCTTTTTCTGTTTCATAAAAGTTAAAAAGAACTTTTGTGCTGTATTAAAGTACTTTTGACTAAAATGCATTGTCCGCAATTTGTTATGCTTTAGCCCAAGTAGAATTGAGTCCATCAAACAGCTGGCCGAGTAGAATATACAAGAAAATGGGTCTATGTATGACTTATATTTGATGTGTAGAGTAATATATATTATGGTTTTTTGACAAGATATTAATTAGGAAGAAGAACTACACCAGAAAGGAGGTTGCACTAGCTAGAGTCAATCCCATCCCAACATTGACAAGAAGAAGAGGGGTGGACACCTACTTACTACTCAGTTGTTGACACGTAAAAAAAATATATATATATATATATAATAAGGTTATATTTAATATTATTATTGTTTCTAGTTGGAACATTTAGGTTGTGTTTCGTAAAATACACTGATAACGTTTTACATTAAACCGTAAAAATGACTGTTGTTTTTGAAAAACATAGTAAAAGTGGAAGAGTGTAAAGTTTTACATCGATAAAATTGATATAATTTTGATATTAATTATTGATGTAAAACTTTATATTTAATAAGATTTTATATTGATTATCGACTTAAAATTCTACTCCATCCTAATGCACACAAAACTAAACTGGAATAAAATTTTATGTCATTTATTTCTCACTAGATGAATGAAAACAGTGAACATATGGTTGGTTGAGAGTTGAAATCCTCGTGTGGTTCATGTTGATTTTTAGGGGTATATGTGAGGAATTAGGAGCTGCTCTCTTATGGGGGCCCTTTGCATGGTCGGTTTTGTCCTTTATACATTGTAAAAAGTATATAGAAACTCTAGTGGAATTGGCATCTCTCGTGTCATAACCTTGGGCTTCATCTGGCATTTTGCCAAAAAGAGGCAAAAGAATAAAAAGAAAATTAAACACCCCAAAAGAAAAACAAATAATATAATAATAAATTTAAATATAATTGAATGAACTAGCTATAATATATATATATATATACTTTTGGGGGGTGTGGGCCCACTCAGAAGAGGTGGACCCACCAACAACAATGGTCTTTATTGGCTACTGTGAGACAAGATGTACGGACCAGGGTATCTGGCAACACCAACCCAGACTCTAGTGGGTAGGAAGGAAGGAAGAAAGAAAAAGAGAGCACTTGTTATCTATCTTCTATCCATGAAATGTTGGCGGGGCTGAGCATTGGCTCTAGGGGCCAGAAGGGTTGGGGAAAGTGTCAAGTGTTGTGAGGGGATGGCAATTAATCGGGAAATAATCGGCGAGGAGGTGGCCTGGGTGGACATTATAAATATGGGGCACCCACTTGCCTTAAATTCACCAAAGTCCCCTTAACAGACAAGAGGGCTTTTGCTATCCTCAGTTGGGTTTTTTGTAGTTTGTGGAGAGATTCTCTTGTCCAAATTGTTTACAGACAGTGTCTCTGTGTTTCTGTGTTTCTGTGTGTCTCTTTTACGCAGATAGATTGGTAGATAGATAGATAGAAACTCAAGTAATAAGAAATAAGTAGAAAATGGATATCGAGGCTACCAGACAGAATTGCAAAGGTGAATCCATGGCTGTGGAGGATGTCTCCGTTGATTGGAGAGGCAGACCTTGCAAGTCTAACAAGCATGGTGGAATGAGAGCTGCTGTATTTGTTCTTGGTCTCTCTCTCTCATATAAATATATATCTATATATAGGATAGAATTTTGCATGCACACCTTTCTTACTCATGATCCTTGATTCCTTCTAGATTTGGTTTTTTAAAATTCTGTGTGACAAATACTCATAAAGATGAAGAAAGAAACCTAGATATCAAACTTGTGGGTTTCTTTTGTTCTCTTTCCTCTCCCCTAGTAGGTTTAAACAGTTCTTTGTTTAAAATGATGCTTCATTCTTTATCTTCAATCCTTCTGGTTCTTATCCATTTTGCTTTTCCGGTTTGGACTCAAAGGTTATAGCTTGACTGGTGGGCATCCTATATACAGAAATCACAATAGTTTGTTGGATCAATTCTAGCAGATATACCACCAATTCTACCTCACTTGCTAGCTAGGATTTCTTCCTTTCAGTCTAGTTAGTATCATAACATTTGAAGGGTTAGATCATGGGTCAATTTGTCGGCTGAGAGCACTATCAGTGAGTGAGGTAGTCAGACTGTCATAGTTGATTTGATCTCTGTACCCATGACTTACTATTTTGCTTTCTTTTCTCTGCCTGTTGAATTCAGAAAGAAGCTCCAGAAACTTTTACTGAGTAACAGTCTCTTTGTGGTGATTCCTGTAACATGTTTTATCAGGTTCTGGTTAGCATTATAGCTGTAAAAGATTCTATAAATTTTTTAAATCACAAGCTTTTGTTTTTCTTCACAAGTGGGTAATGTGGGTTTATCAATTTGAAATTTGATGGTAGAAGAAACTAATGGAGTTTTGACTTTTTTGAAAATTCAGGTTATTGGATACGGATGTTAGTGGGTTTCTTTCTTTATTCATTTATGGCTGGGTGACTGTGTGATGTATGATGTTTCAGGCCTTCAGGCATTTGAGATCATGGCAATAGCTGCTGTTGGGAACAACCTTATCACTTATGTTTTCAATGAGATGCATTTCTCTCTGTCAAAATCTGCAAATATAGTCACCAACTTTATTGGGACCGTCTTCCTGCTGTCTCTCGTCGGTGGATTCCTCTCGGACTCTTATCTCGGAAGCTTCTGGACCATGTTAATATTTGGATTTGTGGAACTCTCTGTAAGCCTCTCTCTCTCTCTCTCTCTCTCTCTCTCTCATCCGCCATTTTTCTTCATACTAGCTACCACATCCTTTATTTTCTGTATACCCATTTTTTCTCTTAAAATGTAAATGGACATACAGCAGCTAGCTTTCTGTTCATAAACAGTTAATGGTAACAGTAGAATCAAACTGATGAGGAAGTCAAATTAATTTGATTTCTAAAGACAATGAATAGAACATTCAACTGAAACTTAATAAAGGAAAGAAAATAAAGATGGAGAAATCAAGAAATAAATATAAGGTTCTTATTTGGGTACTGTATTCTTGTGAATTTTATGCAGGGTTTTATCTTACTATCAGTCCAAGCCCATCTGCCTCAACTAAGGCCCCCCCAGTGCAACATGTTAGAGCAGCAGTGTTCACCGGCCAAGGGCTTCAAGGCCTTAATCTTCTTTATGGCACTCTACTTGGTTGCCTTGGGGAGTGGCTGCCTAAAGCCCAACATAATCTCTCATGGGGCTGACCAATTCAGAAAGGATGATCACAAGCAATCCAAGAAGCTCTCTACTTTCTTCAACGCTGCCTACTTCGCTTTCTCTGTTGGGGAACTGATAGCTCTCACACTTCTGGTGTGGATCCAGACAAGGTCAGGGATGGATGTTGGTTTTGGAGTCTCAGCTGCCGCCATGGCCATGGGGTTGATCAGCCTGATTTCTGGTACACTGGTTTGTAGGAACAAACGCCCTCAAGGGAGCATTTTCACCCCAATTGCCCAGGTAATGATTTTAGTCTCATTTTACCCTTTTCTCAGAAACTGCTAACTATGGATTCTTTTCCCTCCTCTCTCTACTCTCTCTCTCTCTCTCTCTCTCTCTCTCTCTCTCTTGAAAGGAAAGAATTAATGAGCCTTTGTTTTCTTGGGTGATGCTCTGAGAGGCTGAGAATACTCCTTGTATGGTAGCCATTTGTAACATTCTTGTTTGATTTCTTTATTTAATTAGTTATGAAGAAACAGATTGATTGATTCCTATTCAATTTTTTCTTTCACCTAAGCTAATAATTAAGTTTAACTATATTCCAAGAAAGATGATTTTCATTTTCCCTTGTCTTTTCCACGACTGAGCTTCTTGTCTCCCTGTTGTGTCCTTTTGATCTTTGATGCTTTGGAATTTCTTCATTGATTCACTTCTCTAGAGATTTGTTTTCTTCCTTTTTTTTGGAGGGTGTGATTTTGCTTTTTCAGGAATTATTTCTTGTTTCTTTTAGAATAGCGAAATGCTTATTAAAAAAGCAATATATTTTGGACATTTTCACAGTATATGCTTTTGCAAATACAATAAAAAAGTGATATCTGCTGATTCATAATCTCATTATAAAGTTGGTCCTTTAGAAGAATGTATTTCTTAATCTGACCCAACTATTGGTTAATCTAATTGGGTTTTTCCTTTTATATAACTCTATATCTATCTACTTTTGAAGGTTCTTGTTGCTGCATTCACAAAGAGAAAGCAGATTTGTCCTTCTAATTCTGATATGCTTCATGGTAGCCGAATTAGTACTGGGGCCAGCCACACAGTTGGCGGGACGTTTGCTTCTGCTTCCAACACCATCAATCTCATACACACTGATAACTTCAGGTGGGTCTAAAACTTCAGCTGCTGCCATGATACCAAGAGAACTAGTTACTTAGTCCATAATTATGTTCCAACTAAAATCTGGGCAATCTAGGATAATCATTGAACGATTCAAATGAATCTTTTAGAACATCAATTCCATGTGCCCATTTCAATTACTAATTGTCTTCTTAACATCTCTCTTCACCTTAAAATTCCTCTCTCTCTCTCTCTCTCTCTCTTCATCGCTAATATTATTAATTCAAACTGATTTCAGGTTCTTGGACAAGGCCTGCATTAAAATCCAGGATGGGTCTCAATTGAATGAAAGCCCGTGGAGATTATGCACTGTGAGCCAAGTTGAGCAAGTGAAAATCATCATCTCTGTGATTCCAATCTTTGCTTGCACCATTATATTCAACACTATTTTGGCTCAGCTCCAGACATTCTCAGTCCAACAAGGAAGTGTTATGGACACCCGGTTGATCACAAAAAGCTTCCAAATCCCCCCGGCTTCCCTACAGGCCATACCATACTTGATGCTCATATTTGTAGTTCCTCTCTATGAGACTGTATTCGTCCCACTGGCACGGAAGATCACCGGAAAGGACGCCGGAATCACCCCGCTGCATCGGATAGGAATTGGCCTTTTTGTTGTAACTTTCTCCATGGTTGCAGCTGCCCTAGTAGAGAAGAAGAGAAGGTTTGCAGCTTTAGAGTCCAAGAACACACTGTCAATCTTTTGGATCGCTCCACAGTTCCTCATCTTCGGACTCTCAGAGATGTTTACTGCGGTCGGCCTCATTGAGTTCTTCTACAAACAGTCCCTGGCAGGAATGCAGTCATTTCTAACAGCCATGACCTATTGTTCATACTCATTTGGGTTCTACTTGAGCTCCCTCCTTGTCTCACTGGTTAACAAGATCACCTCAAATTCATCAAGTGGAGGATGGCTTAGTGACAACGATCTCAACAAAGATAGGCTAGATTTTTTCTATTGGTTGCTAGCTGCCCTTAGCATCATTAACTTCTTCAATTATCTATTTTGGTCCAGATGGTATTCTTACAATCCATCTTTGTCTCCAACTCCAGTACATGATTCCTATGGAGAAGACTTGGATCACAACTTCATCAGCTCTTCAAAGCATATTGGAGCTGACAATATTATACCTTAAATAGCATTATCTCCATAAATGATTTTTTTACTTTCACCTTTAGCTTGACTATTGTATAAAAAAAATGGAAAAAAATATAAAAAGTATAAAACAAATACCATGTTGGAGTTAGACCCACTTAGTGCAACCTCTAGGTTGATAACCATTGTGTCTTCCATCCTTTGCTACCTTTTGTTTCTTTAATAATTGACTGTCCAAGGTGGACTTTTAAGGGTCCAGAGGTCTTTGATTTGATCCCAAGGATCCATAAGGAAGTTAGGTCTAATCCCATCTGTAAGATTCAATGCATTCTCCTTGTTGTACTCCTTTTCTTCATTACTGTTCCTCTCTCTATGATCATGGGTGAGGAAATTAAAACCTCATCACATTTTATTTCTATGTAAAAGAAAGTGTAAGTGGTGGGGTTTTGCTTTTATGCTTTAGTTAGTTAAAAGAAGGGTCATTCTAAAGCAACTCTGCTATTGTGATGTGATACATGTTTATGGAAAATAAAAAAGTCTCAGTGAATAATGGCTAAAAAATTCAAAATAAATAAATAAAGGAAAAAATAAAGGGAGGATGAGAGGATCTATTTCTAGACCTCGTAGGGAAAAATGCCTCCATGTTCTGTTCCTATCTCAATCATTTACCTTTCACCAGGAAACATGTCTCATACATGTCTTCAATGTCCTATGTTGGAGCTAGGCCCCTCCCCCCTGCAAGATCCCTCAGCACTGCTGTTAGCCTTATAACACCACTGGTTGTGGGGGGTCTCTTTGTCATTATAATGTTCATCCATATGTTTGTAAAAAGATTATCAGGGTCCCATGAGCAACAGTCTTTCTCATGACATGGCTAAGACACTCAACCAATGACAGAAGCAATTTCTCCACTTCATTGGCCACTGCTCTGCTGCAAAACCAGTGCCATGAACACAGCTTACCCTGCTGCCAGCATAAAGTATATATGGTTCTCTTCTTTCCCTCTGATTCTAGAGTAGTTGGTTTCCCATTCTTGTGACGGGTCCCTTCAATTCTTGGATTTATTGGACTCTGTGATTATTTCTAGTACGACTATGACAAACTATTTTGTTTCCATCTTCTCACATACTCTTGATCAGCTGCATCCAAAAAAGAAAGATGAGATAAGCTGAAACTTACTAATACAAGCAGTCCAATATAAACCATTACTCAGTTTTCTTTGGTCTCTTAAGTGGAAATCCAACCTTGGACTAGCCCAGTATAAACCATTTCGCCCCTAAATATCCAAGTATAAATCAATAGTTATGCTGTGTTTGGTTTCACAGAAATAAGAGAGAAAACATTAAGTTTTGTTCTGAAGTAGTTTCACAAATTTTAATTTGTTAACAACCTTCCCTCAACTTTTCGTTTCTCTTATTTCCTATCAAACCAAACATAGCCTTACTACTGTGAGACATATTCATTAATAGTTTAATACAATTCTGGCTGGGTCCATGGAGCCCCTTATGAAATTTCATCTGAAAACAATTCTGAATCTAATCCCACCAGCCCAAAATATGGTCAAGTTGGTCCAGAATGGGGTTTGGCTTAACACCCATAATTTATATTTGGGAGCCAATAAGAGAAAGACACAGCAACGATGGCACATGAGAATTCTGTCATCTGATGACCACTTTACTCCATAGCATCGGTATTCCTAGTGTCCTATGTGACATACAAACTCCACTTTCCAACATTTAAAGTAGTGTTGCTGGTTGCTGTGTGTCACCATTTGGCACATTTTTTTTGTAGCATATCCAATAGAGCTTTGACTTGGTCTTTTTTATTAGTTGGAGAAGTACTTAGTTTTCATCTTTAAAATTATTCTTTACTATCTTCTTTTTAAGTTTTGTAGATGATGAAGAAGTAGCTTTTTTTTTCTCTCACCAAATGTTTTGGGTAATTCAATTAAGTTATATTTATTAAACTAGGAGGCAACATAACAGAAGATCAAGCTGTTCCCTCCTTGCTTAACCCATCAAGTTCAAAAGTTGTGGTCATGGCCATCCACTCCACCCCAACCCCACCTGATGACCTTTCTAATGATTCCTTCTACTTGGAGAGAATGCATAGGAGATCAAAATGATGTGCATAGGGTTAAAGCTTGGTTTTCTCCTTTTTAGGTCTAGCCTTTTAACTTAAAATTTTGGCCCCCCCTCCCCCTCTCCCTCCTAAAAAAGTAAGAACTTGTAGTAATATAAGAAAGAGAGAGAGAGGGGGGGTTGATAAGAACCAAGGCTTACTTGAGCTAAGGATTCAGCTATGGCATAATAAAATAAAAGGGGCCATCCAAACAACACCACAAGGCTCTTAAATCACTCACAAAAGAAGCAATTTCGATGGTAAAAGTTCTGGAGACTTTGCAAAAAGTTGAAAACTAACCTTTTGGAGTCACTATCCACAGCTCCCCACCAATGAAAATCTCAACTCTCCAAGTCATTAAGAGGCTCCCACAAGCATAATATTGTCTTCAAATGGAAAAATAAACAATCTATATATGCCAATTTCCACACAAGCACCTGCAAAGAAACATGGCAGTTTCTATATAAATTCTAACCACCACCACCCCATCACCCACCATCGGATCGACAATATCTGCACAAGAATCTGATCTCTCAGCAAATGCTTTGAACAAATAGATTGAAAAACCAAGGCTCAGCTAATGCTTTGAGCCAGGACATATCCAGGAAAGGTATTTACTTTCAAAAGTAGCTACATGTCCTAAGTCGTAGATGGGTTCAAAAAATCATATGATACATTGTGATTAAGGGTGTCAATGGACCGGTTTTGGATTGGACTCTGTCCAATCCAAAATCAATTTGGATGGATTGGACTCAGTCCAATCCAAAATCAATTTGGATGGATTGGACAGACCAACAAGACATATTGAATTGGATCAACCCGATCCAAAATATTTATTAGATTGGATTGGACCTGGTCCATCCATAACAATTTTATATTGAATTGGGTTGGATTCAGCCAATATTTGGTCCTTGATATAAGATAAGAATATATGTGTCAATGGACCGGGTTTGTGTTGAAACCAATCTAAATCAAAAAGAATTTGAACAGACTGGATGGTCCAGACATTGAATTGGACTGGTTTAAATTGGTCCAAAACATTCATTGGATTGGATTGGACTTATTTCCATGGGAATATGTTTGTCTAAGTTGGGCCCGGCTTTTGCTGAAGCTAGGTTAAGTCTTTATTGCACAAGATTAAACCCCTATTTGGGAGTACTTACATTTAAGCACTTATTTTAGGTTGGGGCCAAACCAATAAGCACTTATGTGCATTTGGGAATTAAATCCAAATAAGTGTTTTCTTCAATGAAATAAGCCCGTTTCGAATAAGTTCAACATTTTGACTTTTTATAAAGCATTTTTTTGGAAAAGAAAAAAAAAAGCTTAATGCATATCTAGCCCATCTTGGCCCATAATGTAATTTTCAAAATACCTATACTACCCCCTTTGAATGAAATAAACACTTATTTATCCAATAAACACTCTCAAACATGGGCTACAAAGGGTTGGGCCGCACCCTGGCTTAGCTTGAAAAAAATGCAACCACAAACTAGATAGTCTCCAAACTGTAAAACCGGTAATTTAGGGCTCATTTGGGAAGGCTGAACTGAAGATTCAGCCAAGCTAGTTCAGCTGCCTTGAAGCTCTCCAGATAAGCTATTCAAAGAGGCTGAAGCAGACAGCCCTCTAAATGATTGACAGACAGCCAATTTGGGCTCTCCGGATTTTTTCAATTTTCACCAATAGGGCAATAGTTGTCCATGTCAGGCCCACCTCGCAAAGTCAAAAGCTAGTGTGCTTCAACCCTCCCAAACGGGCACTTAGGAAGGACTGAAGCTTAAGTTCAACTGCTTTGGAGAAGCCACTGAAAGAAACTTTAACAGAAAGCCGTTTTTATGGCTGAAGAACAAGTTTAAGCTTTTCTGATTTTTAGGCTTTTGGGATGGGGCCCACCTTATAAAACCAAAAGCAACCACTTGAAAGCCCTCCCGAACGGGCACTTTAAGGTTATGTTTGGTTTGAGGGAAAAGGTAGGGATAGGAAAGAAAAGGTAAGAAAATCTATACAAGATTTGCAAAGGTTTCCCTATCTTTCCCTTCCTTTCCCTACTTTTTCCTTCAAACCAAACATAGTCTAAGGCAGCCTATCCAAGTATCCAACAAGAAATAAAAATGGACACAAAATTATAGGTAATACGGGAATAAAAATGGACACAAAATTATGGGTTGGGCCTTGTTCAAAAGGCTGGGAACTAAGTACCCAACAGAGAATTGTCTCACTGTTAAAGCCATCTATATATATATATATATATATATATATATA